ACCTGAAAAAACAGATTTTACCAAGTAGTTGATCCTGTTTTGCTTGGAAATCCAAGGAAAGGATGAAGGCAGATTTAAGTTATCTCAATAAATGGGACTCCTTTCTCAACAGGTTATCTTTTTACTGACAGCAATTCACAACCCTTTTGATCGAAATATTGGATTTGAAAAAGCATTAGTTCACAAGGATTTACGAACATTGACTGACAATCATCACAAGGGAATCCTGGAATCAACTTCAGATGACTGCAAATTATTGTTGGTGAATCCTGTTCTGAACTATGTTTTTCAACTCCAATACACGAAGTACATTGGATAAAGAAACTTACCTTTTTTAGCACATTATTCTTTTGAAAAATCTCAAAGCTCTTTTATAGTAATAACCATTAAAGTTTGACTTTTTGTAGGTGAGCAGCTATTTGGCAGAGCAAGATTCTATAACCAGGAGGTGAATAACATGATCTCAAGTTGCTCAGTACATCATTCAACAACACTTGCATTTTTTATTGCGCTGTTGTGGGATAGCAAATCGGAGCGTAGTACAATGGCCCCAAGCAACAAAGAAGGGTGAGGTGACTTAAGGCTTGGTTGAAGAGGTAGGTCTTTGGGTGGGATTTAAAGGTAAAAAGAGGGCAAGGCAGAGGGATTGAGGCAGCGAGTTCCAGAGATTTGGGGCAGTGTCTGAAGTCTTGGCAATGGTGGTGATGTGTGGGGGTAGGGTTGGAGGTGCAAGGACTGGAAGCGATTTGTATGTGATGATCCTGTAGACGATCTGTTCACTGGGAGCCAGCAGAGCCTAGCGAGGTTTGCCTGATGGGTATGTGTTATTAGGTATTATATTTCAATATTTAAATCATCTTAAATAAATCAAAGGAAGGTGAACATTTTGTTGAATTAACATTCGACCACATGTAGAAAAGAGAACTGCATTTTTACCTTTCTTTACTGTTAATACTATTTGATATTGAAATGCAGAAAGAAATAAAGGGTATTAAAATAATTAAAACCAATACAATGTAATATAATTTTATTTTTCTCCAGAATTGTACATTTGATACACATTTGTCACATTATTTCAGCTATTCTCTTAACACACAACTCTATCAGACGTAGGACTGGTAGTCATTTGTTGTCCAGTCTAATGTCACTGTCTAATGTCCAAGCTTTCATGACTAGTTGTAGGCAGATGACTCGTTAATCATTCACATTTACCCAGAATTTGTTACACACACTGTAAATCTTACTAATCTGATTAATTTAGTGTTTTTTTGTAGAAGTGGTGTAAACACTGTGATCAAATTAACAAGCCATGCTGTACATTTCCTTTCTTTTTTGGACTAAACTATAAAGTTAATGTGAACAAGCTTAAATACACTTTCTCAGCACAACCCACAGTGAAACACTATTGTAAAAGTGAAACTGTTGTGTTGTATTTTACAGCATTTCCATTTGATCCCAGCCAGCAGGACCTACAGTTGGCAGAAAGTCAATAAACATATACCACAAGTGCAAAGTACCTCTAGTCTCAAGTTTTGCCCATCCCGCACAGAAGGAGAGGGCGGATTTAAATTGGCATTTAAAAAAAAATTAGAACATCCAAAGTTTATATTCTGAAACATGCTAGTTGACCACAACTGTAACTTAAAGAAATTTGCTTACCGAACAAGATTTGGAGGCCACATCAAATAAAAGGCACTCACATTGGTGAAGATTATCATTTAACACTTCCAAACAGAAACCGTTACATTTGAGGGCAACTGCGCAATCTGTCCTGTAATAACTATCCTGGGAACATTACCCACAATAAAAACCTCTTTAAACAAGACCGTTAAATATGTCTGAAATTTCTCATTGTCTCAGCATGAAAATTTAAGATCGTGGAGAATTTTGGAAAATTCGCAAAATTCAGCCTTAGTTTGAAAACCAGCTTCCAAGTTAAGACTGGCTTTTAAGGCAATTGGTCTTAAGGCTAAGACCGTGAGGCATTTTGGTTCTTAGATTTCCTCATGAACGCATCTTAAAAACAATTTGTAAAGATCAAACTTTTTTTTGTGGAGGAAATAAAGATAAAACTCAAAAGAGAGATGGAAAGGAATAAAGAGAGAAAAGCACAGTTGTAAATTGATTGTAAAACATTTCACGGTGATCTGAAGCATGGCTAAGCCTTCAATCATATATTAAATGTCTGTCAGCTCCTCGACTCCCCCCAAGTTATCAGAACAAGTTCACTTGTAATTTATTGGCTTTCTTTCTAATCTAAAAAAGATTGTTGTCCTGCAATGCGACACACTCGCAACGCTAGAAAGGTTACTGGAGCTAATGTCCATTATTGAAGAACCTGTGTCATGGCTATTTACTCTCTCTAACTTTATCATATGAGTCACTCATGCACCCAAAAATAGCAAGCTATTTTGAAGACGTAGATAACACTTTTTGGCAGCTCAGAATCTGATCAGACCTCTGTCCAGCAGCTGTTAAAATACCTATTTTCTGCCTGGCGAATGGCACCAAATTCCTTCCCAATGCATTCCTGAGTTAGACATCTTGTTGTGCCTTTCCCTCACTGAATATCAGCAGATACTTCAGTGAGCTAGGGAAGAGATTTTCCTAACATTTATTTGGAAGGAGGGATTTTAGGTTAAAAAGAACATATGGGAGGGAGGATAATCAGATCTTGGAGATGTGGAGAGTGTACGAAAGGCGAATACTGGAAAGATGAGAGGAACTTAAGGGCACATGGCAGAGAGGGAACCTTAAATAGGGAGCTGAAAAACAAGGGCAGAGACAAGAGGGAATTGCAGAAGTAAAAAGGGGAAGGTTATTTTTTCCTGCTCAGAGGATTGTTGGATTGTAAGAATTTTTTTTATCACAAATGGCTGTTGAAGCTGAGTCAATAACAGCATTTAGAAGAGAAATGGATAAAGACACAAGTTGATTCTATGAACAGCACAAATTAGATGAGGGGGGAGGTGAGAAAATACCATGTTCAATTCCAAAATGTTCATAAGTTTGTGAAAACATCATCCTTGATTTTTCACTCCGTGAAATCAACAGCCACTGACAAAGATTACGTTTGAACTATGATGACACGGTGGACTATACAGGCTGCAGTATGTTTGTAAGTGTGCATGAGAGAATGTGTGTGTGTAAACATGTCGAGACATCTTAATGAGATTCTCAGGATATGTGAAGGATATACTGTGAAGTGGATTGACTGTGTATTTTGTGGGCGAAACAAGGCAGCCAATTTGCACACAGCAATGTCCCACAAGCAGCAATGGATTTTATTTGGGGGATTGACTGGCCAGGAAACGGGGAGACCTTCTCTTAAGCGCCTGTTAAGGTTCGCTTTCCACACAGGAGCTCTTGTGGTGTATTTCCAGCTTCTGGAGCTGACCAACCAGTCTCCTGCATTAAAAAGCGACTGACTTCCGAGTTGTCAATCTCACCACCTGTCACATCCTGTTTGCTATGCAAGAAGAGCTGCTGAAAGGAAACTGTATTTCTTGCATATAGAAGGGCATGAAGGGACAATGCTGGTGACCCAACGACTTGGAAGTCAGACAGTTTGCCACGCTCCCTTTTACCACGAATATCATTACCAATAATATGAAACATTGGACCCGTTGATTGTGCTATAATAAGGTTTCCCTGTATGCAGTAGGTTCTACAATCTGGACCATAAGCACACATGAAAAACAAATATTTGAATTAAAACGAAAGGAAATTATTCAAATTCTACATCGAATGGATATAAGGCTTTGTTTTTTGGGTGTTGGGAAATTCTATGGAAGTAAGTGTAGATTAATTTAAGGAAGGCATCAATAATGATGCTGGATCAATACATAATGGAAAATACCAGCACCAAAGAATGCTGGTTTTAAGTGAAAGATAATCCTATTGTGCATCATATTTCTTTAGTGTTATTGATGGGGAGGGGGAGTCAAGGCAGCTTCAATATCATCACAGTTAATTTTCCAGATTGTAACTGTACTGAATGGTTTATTTTTCAGAACGTCCATGAGATGACTTGTTTTCAAAACATGCTGTTTATTATGAGTTTTGACGCAGTTCTCTGACCATCAAAAAAATGACTGCAATGGGTAGCAGAGAGTGCTGATTAGTAGGAAAGGGTCTGATTGACTGGTGGCCATCAGCATAATTCTGAATGTTTTGTTCTAGGTCCCCTGCAGCTCACACAATTCAGAACTGATTTGGAAGGAGAGCAGGTCTTGTAACACCATATTATGACACTTGCTGCTATTACCAGACTGTATGGCCAAGATGACCAAGTGAGGGATGTCACATAGAGTTGTGAACCAGTTAACCAGATAGATTAATAACAGCTGGATAAATATCTGGCTAGAAATAAGCTTGGAAACAAAGCAAAATAATCAAATACTCCAATAGATGTGTCAGAGCAAGGGAGGGGTGAGGGTATCATCCATGGAAGCAAAGAGGCCAGGTTAGAATAGTAATGGGGAGAGAAAAACAATGGAGAACCTTCTGACAGGACATTATGGGGGAGAAATTCCATCTAGGCATAGTCTAAACCTATTTGGGTAGTAATTTAGAACATGCCAAATATGGCAAAGGTACAAATTCAGTCTCAACTTTGAATTTATGGAAAACACAGCTTCAAATTAAGACTTTATTTAATCTTTATTTGATCTTATACAAATATATAAGATTCTTATGGGGCTTGACAGAGTAGACAGCGTGAGACTGTTTCCCCTGGTAGGAGAATCTAATAACTAGGGGTCAGTCTTAAGATTAAGAATCAGCCATTTCGCAGAGTTGAGGAAACACTTCTTCACTCAGAGGGTAGTGAATTTATGGCATTCTCTACCCTAGAAGGTTGTAGATGCTCAGTCCTTGAACATATTCAAGACTGAGATTGATAGATTTCTAAAGGATAGAGGGTTTAAGGGATATGGAGATAAGGCCAGCAGATGGAGTTAGGTTAGAAGATCAGCCATGATCTTATTGAAGAGCGAGGCAGGCTCGAGGGGCCGAATGGCCTATTCCTGCTCCTAATTCCTATGTTAAGAACTTGCCAATTTCTGGTCTATTTTGAAATACTGAACAATTAGAGCAAATCTCGACCCAGGAGGAATTTCTATTCCTAAATGAATGGATAGAGCCCATGGCAGCCATTGTAAGAGGTGTATGAAACGAGATCCTGGGACGACCAGGGTTCTACATGGGGTTTCTCAGTACAGTAGTTTCTCAGCTTTCTTATCTTCTTAGTTATCGGATATGGAACATAAATCTAAAGACCGTAATTATCTGCATTAAAACCACATACTGAAAAATCATTTAAGTAATTGTAAGCACAGCACCTATAAAGAAACATCTCGAAGAAAGACACAGTACTCCTGCACCTTCCCTACAGTTCTACGTAACATTATTTAAACGTCAAGTTTTTAAAAAAAATTATGCGCACTGTGACTAATGATCAATTTCACACAATGGCAATAGAAATGGACAGCATGTTAACCAGAGATGGCTATTTAGCAGAAGACCAAGACCTGTTTAACTCCAAAAGGAACATAGCTAATAAGGCACTAAAAATTACTTTAAGATGGTGTTGGATAGCGTTATCAAAGGGATGCAAGCAGATGAATTGTGCTGTGGTCCTCAGAGCGACGAGCAAGTCAGATACCATGGTTTCCTCGATGTCCACTTCTTGGCAACTTGTCAATATTGGCAACTGACGATGACAGTACCTGGATTTCTTACTGATTGGCTTGTAAACAGCAAAACAGTTGCTTTTTGCAGAAATCTGACTTTGTTTTGCTGTCAGACCCTGGAGGAACCAGATAGTTATAAGCAGATATCTTCTGCTATTGAAATAAAAAAGGGACAATCCTGGATGGGGAGACAAAACCTCCTATGTGTCGATTACCATAATTCAATTCAGGCTCACTCGCAAGACTGTTAAAACAACGTAGATTTGCTTCCATTTTGAACAAAGGTGCAAAGTCAACTGGCCAGCAATCCAAGTCACCTCAGTTAATTCTAGGGGCTTGAACTGAAAATACAAGATAGGGAAGAGTTACAATGGCCACTGCTACAAACTAGAACTGGTAGGTGTTTGAAATCTGGTTTAACGAACCCTCAATGGACTAGCCTGCACAGCATGCTGGTATCCCTTGAGATCGAAAGCCATACAGTGAAGAAAACAGAAACACCACTAGTGCATTGGGGAATTCTCTTCAAAAAACAAGGCGTTAAGACAGTGTTAGGACAATTGAAGAAGTGCAAAAATGGCCAGGAACTCGCACCATCTATGATCATAGTTTAGTGCTGCTACTGTGTGCAAAATGGAAAAGAATACCCACTTCTTCATCACTGGTATCCTTAATTCCAAACAACTGAAAACAATAGCTTTTTTCACTCTTAACTTGCACATCACAGTGCTTGAAGTCAGGTCTTTGGAAGGTATTTGGACTACTTTGTGTTTAAATGTAATATGGCCAAAAATTAAACAGAAGACAGCATTCTCAGTTTCATCTTTGTTCGATATCTGGTTGTGAATTCCGTCCTATTGCTTGTCATTGCAAAATTGTGTGGAGACCCTGGCAGGTCCGTCATCAGCCTTGGAAAAGAGGCTGCTTCTTTACGTAAACATAACAGGCTGCGACCTTTTCCTCTGCTTCTTACAAATGTAATAGATGGGAAAGATAAACAGACCTGTGAAAAGAAAAGAGAAATGCACTGTCCATTACACAAAGGTAAATAATACATGGCTCTGTAATTTACACATGCAAAACCAAAGGCTGCACTTATCAACAAACTGCTACTAAGACCTGCTCGGCAAGCATTCATTAATCTCCAACCATTTAAATCCGCACTGCTACTAAGACCTGCTCGGCAAGCATTCATTAATCTCCAACCATTTAAATCCGCACTGGAGTGTTTTGTTTTTATTGAGAACTGATAACTTAAGCAAAGGTGAAAGAAACACAGCGCACACAGAAAACTATGCGAGACCGTGTCTTCAGTCATCTCCTTTTTATCCCATTCCTACCTCCCACCTTGCTTGAGTTTAGTCACCACCAGTATAAAGCACTTAAGAGACATATCCTGCATGAAGGTGCTATAAATGCAAAATTAAATGCAAAATGCAAAAAAGAGGTCAAAATTATTTTAACAACAGCTAGCATTCTGGCTGTGCGTCTAGCTAACAAGGTACAAAATGTAACAAGTGGCAACTGGGTTAGAAGAAGGGAATAAATCACTGGGAACAGACAACATCCCAACAAAGGTCAACTGGATATCTGACACATATGGAAATCCATCACCATGAATGTCCCAACCAGGCTTCGAGCTCCACATATGTATGTCACCTACCATGGCAACATGTCTGGAACAGAATGTTCACTTTCCCCAGAGGAAAAATTGTGAGTATTAGGCACAGGCCTACACTCTATTCAATATACAGAAAACTTTCCAACATAACTTTTTAGCAGTAACGAACAATATCACTTGTCTAGTTAAGAGTGTTCCTAAGCAACTGAAGCTAATAAATGTGCTTGATAGAAGTAAAATTGAATTAACAATATTTTCCCCTGGTGTTGGCTTTGATGTTTGGAAACATTGCAATACCTACAGTGGCAATAAGCATTAAGAATGCAGACTCTGCCTTTGTCAGATTTCACTGTATCCACAGCCAACAAGGCATTCAGACACTACAGCAAAACATGGAGTTATTGAATGTACTTGGGTGGGATATTTACCTGAATCTGGGGCAACTTGACTTAACAAAGCTGAAGATCTCAGGGCTGAGTATGGGTTATGTAAATATAATAATCCTTGCATTTCACATAGCACCTTATGCTACCGTTGAGATGTCTCAAGGGGCTTCACAGAATATGTTGTGAAGTGGATTTTGCGTGCAGCAGTGTCCCACAAACAGTCATGGATTTAAAGATTTGAAAGAATGACGAGTGCATAGCATGGTTGTCCTATGAATGTGTGGTATGGAGCGCCAGCTGCCTGTCTCACCCGTTCTGTATTCACCATTCCTCCGATCTCTGGTGGCTCAAAATAGACACAATCACGCAACACTAGTATAAATGGAGGTTCCTTCACCTTGCAGATGAATAACATTGCAGTAACTAGCCTGCATTTGCTGTTCATAGCTAGGCCCCTCTATCAGCCCTCCAATGAATTACTGAACAGACTGTTCTATAACAGAACAACACTGACCTTGAGGGGAGATGCAGATTAAGCAAGCACTTAAATAAAGAGATCTTCATCAGTGAGATAACACCATTCATTTCCCCTCAATGCAATTGGGTCTCCTAGTTATGGACTTGAGCTGGCTATGATTCCATGGCTACTGGAAGCCCTCTCCTTTAGACATCAGCAATTCAATCAGATATTGCTTCCAGCAAAAATCATAGCCTGTTTATTCAAATATGTTGCACAGACACAATAAACTAAATGACTCCATGCCATGAATAGAATTTGTACGTTTCAAAGACAGGCATTCATAAATACATGAAAACAATTCTTTCCCAAATTTTGTTTTGAAAAATGGGTGAAAACAAATCTTATTCTTAGCTCGTACCCTGCTGAGGTTATTGGCTGAGATAAAGATTTGGTTTAGAGAGATTAGCTAGATACTTGCCGCAGTGCAACCATGAGACTCTGTGGCTCATCCATTTCTAATGCACAGTAGAGCCTCCTCACACACAATTCAGACTCAATCACATCTCTACAATATCTGATGACACAATCCCTTTTTAATGCGCTCGCTTAATATCAATTTCTATTTGGTTATAAACTAAACAGAATTGATTTTTAATATCTGATTTGGCTTCAATAAAACTGCATCTTTTTTCCCTGATAACATTGAAAATTCAATAGTTTTTTAGATGGATCTCAGGCCCATTTTCAGCATAGCCTTTTACCCCTGCAGTAATTTATATATAAAAAAATACTAATTCCTGCAGTTTTACAACCAACTACAACCAGATATTCAGCAGTGATGTCAGCAGAGATTTTATGACCAGGAAGTTGGCTATTTTAAAGTGCGCCAGCTGGCTGCATAATAATAATCCTTGCATTTGATATAGCGCCTTATTACATCTTCGAGACAGCTCAAAGCGCTTCACAGAATAAACAGTAAAGTGGAATGACTGTGCATTTTGTGGGCAAAATATTTTGTATTTTGATTGTCTAAACATCATATTACAGATCTTTAAACAAATTAGTTTGTTGCTCTTTAATAATGAAATTGTTTTTATAAATGTTGCAAGTCTGTATGAATATCATATTCATAGGTTTCTTGTACCTAAAGTTGTGCTGTTCTGTCACGATTTTGAATATACTGCAGATGGCGCACCGTCCCTGTATTAAAGCATAACAACAGACTGAGTCTGCACCTCAATTCATAGAACTTATTGTACTGAAGGAGGCCTTTCAGCCCATCAGCCTACACTGATACTACTTGAATCCTAACTCCCTGCTCCTTCCCCATAATCATTGCTGCTGTTTCTCTTCATATATATATATTTCCAATTCACTTTTAAGTTTTGTTATGGTCTCAGCCTCAATAACCCTTTGCGACAAAACATTCCACAATCTAATAACCTTCTGCAAGACATTTCCTTGAGTAATTACAGCCTTTGTTGTTCATCATGAGATCAGGCAGACAGGCTTCCTCACTGTTTTGTACCGTAGTAGAGTCCAAAGTGAACATTACCAAGCAGCAATGCAAGAGTACTGATTACTAATTTTGGCTAACTTCTTCCCTGGTTCATTTGTCACCTCTTCCTAGTTACCTCTTCCTAATCACTGCTAACTTTTTTCAACCAAGCTCTCCAACTAACTTCAGGTGTCAGATTGACTCTTGCCTCCGAGTCACAAGGTTGTGGGTTCAAGACCCACAATGTGAGTTGGAATCCATATAGTCTAGGCTGACCCTTCAACACAGTGTTGCCCCTTCCCTCACCTCCTTCAAGGTCCGTTTCAAGACCTTCTTCTTTGTCTGCGTTTTTGGTCATCTTCCCTCCCTCCACCGCTCCAGCCCCCACCCTCTCAAATCCAACTTCCAGCTCAGGTGCAAACCCTTGACTGTCCAGTGCCTGAGGACATCCTCCTAATGTTAAAGGTGCGATATAAATGCCATGTGTTGTTGTTCTCGGGGATATGAGGCATTGTTGGAGCTGTTGTCCTTCAGATGAGACATTAAACTGAGGTCTTGCCTGCCTGTTCTGGTGGACGTTAAAGATCCCATAGCACTATTCAAAAAGAGAAGGGAGTTTCCTCCAGTGTCCTGGCCAACAATCCCCCAAATAAAATTGGTGACATTGTTGTGTGCACATTGGCTGTTGCGTTTGCCTACAAAATAGTCACTCAACTTTACAGTATAATCTGTGAAGCGCTTTGAGAAGTCTAGAAGACGTGATAAGTCCTCGTGATAAGGACTCGTGGAGTCCTGTAGCTCAGTGGTTAGAGCACTCGCTTTGCAAGTGAGAGACCTGAGTTCAATTCCAGGGCGAAACCTTGGGCAAGTTTCCTTACTCCACACAGAGCCCTAATAACAATCCCTCCAAAACCAAAAACAATAATAAATTGGTCATTTTCAATCTACGGCTGTTTGTGGGACATTGCTTTGTGCAATTGGCTGCCGCGTTCGTCCACAAATATACAGTCAATTCACTTTACAGTATGTTCTGTGAAGCGCTTTGGGAAGTCCTCCCGACGTGAAAAGCACTATATCAAATGCAAGGATTATAAGCGCCACATCAAATGCAAGGATCATTAAAGAACTATTATCATCTTCTCAAGCACTTTGTCAATCCTCCCGACATGAAAGATGTTATATTACTATTGTCATTAACTTCAACAACAACATTCGTTTATCTAGCGCCCTTCACACGGTGTAGGGTCCAGGAGCGCTTCAGACTGAATTTGACACATTATCTCGACAGCTGACTTGATGGTATAGAGCTGCTCTCTGCAGACTCGCTAACAATAAGTTATTTACAAGCACTCAGCCTTCTCTTTTCTAGACTTCAATATGTACACATACAGATATTTCTGTTTTTGAGACAATTTGCAGAGATTTTACAATCCATTTTGGTATTAGCAGCTATCTGGAGAATTGTTCAGCTTTTGAACAGCATCGCACTAGACATCATTCCCTAATTCCTTTCACATTATTCCCTCTCTCACTGTCTTGAAAACGCTTAATAAATAACTCTCTGCCATAAGCCACCTTCCCTCAAACTCTCTCCCTTCTTTTCACCTTGCTCAGTGTCCGTGTGAAGTGCTTTGAGATGTTTTGCCACATGAAAGGGTGCTTATAAACATCTGCCAAGATCTAATACTGGTGGAACAGGCTCAATGATTGAATAGCTTCTCCTGTTCATTTTTCATTGTGGACCACACCTTATAAGCTATCAATGTATCAGGGAGACCGTGAAATAGCATTTAATCAGAATCAATCAGAATTTGGTTTCTATTCAACTGGATATTTGCTTGAACTATTCCTAACAAGTTAACCCACCCTGGAAATTTTTACTACTGAAAACCCAACAGAAAGTCCTTAGAATTCCTACTGCCTTTCATTGCCTCGTTTTTCATTTTGCCTTGTTTATACAGCACTGCAAGTCCAAATTTCCTTGTCAAAACTGTCTACACTCACAGTCAGTAGAGTAAAATTGTAACTGGGACTTGATGGAAAGAGGAAGTGGATTATGTGCCTTTTTTGTTTTTATGGCAAGGTTTTTTTTAATCAAAGGCTTGTAAAGCACAACCTTCTGATTCAGAGGCAAGAGTGCTACCAACTTTATCAGGCTGACACCTCAGGGATAGAGTAAGAGGTTTGCAAATGGAGTCCAAATTTGGGTTAAGGATATAGGGCAAAGGAAGACTCTGTACTCCAATTATCTGACAGATTTCTCTGACTTAGCAATTATGATACAGCATCAAGAACATCTCAGAGTGCTTCACAAAGTTTTTGTTCAGTATCGTGACCGCATATTTGTAGGCGAACCTGGCAGCCAATTTGCATTCAGCAATATCCTGAAACAACTATTTAGTGAATGGTGAATTTTATCTTGGGAATTGGTCAGGACACCAGGAGAAACTCCCTCCTCTTTGAGTAGGGGCATAGGTTCTTTAATATTCACCTAAACAGGCAGATGGGACCTTGGTTTGTCTCATCCAAAGGATCACACCTCCAACAATGCAGCAAACTGCCAGCAATGCATTGGGATTTGAACTCATAACCTTCTGGTTCAGAACATAATAAGAAGTGTGCAGATAGAACACAAAATTGGGAAGAAGCCATCACGAGTATTGGCTGCTATTCGTGTTGTAACTTGTATGGTTAATAAGCAGCACAGCTGACCTAGTTTTAGTCACTGCAGGCTAGAAGTATAAATATTTTCAGAACAGAAGGAGACCATTTGGCCCATTGTGCCTGTGCTGGCTCTCTGTAAAGAGGGTTTGTTTGGTCCCACTCCCCGACTTCTATGGATAGAGTTTGACAGCAGATTAAACAAGACCAGACTTGACATGTTGCTGTTAACACTAATTCAGTCTTCTAAAATGTTCCTCCATTCCCTCTCTCCAGATACAGAGTTTTCTATGAAAGACTTAAAGACATCAGCTGCACTTCTCTGTCTCTTTAAATCTTTATCATCTTTTTATGGAGCAAAATACACTTGGCTCCCAAACAGTGCGAGAACAGAATGTGTTCCGGCAAAGTTCAACAGCTTCTGGGTATCTGCCTTTGGATTACAACATAAATTCTCACTCAGCTTCTACGTATAACACAAACAACAACTTTAATAAATAAAAATCCACATCGGGACTGGTCAAACCAGCTGCTGCTCCAGCCGAGAGCAATCCAGATTTTTAAAAAAAAATCCATATCACTGATAAAAAGGCTTTAGGCAGCGGGCATCCTACAAATTGCTTGGCATTTTATTCTGTTGAAATGCTTCTTCCTGGTGTGCAGACAATGCAGCACTTTTTTTAAAACCAGTTCAGACCTTTTCAGAAAACTTCTCACCACTTTCAAACCACATAAATTGTCAAAATCAATTTCTGAAATTTTCTGAGCGTTTGAGCACCAGAGACATTCAAATATGAGAAATCATAATCTTTTTATTTTGGTTGTTAGTGCTCAAAAAGAATTACTGGCAGAGTCAAATACCTTAAAGGCATACAATGCCAACTGCTTCAAAGACATCCATAGATGTTAGCCAGAAAATCTCTAGCCTGACGTCAAAGCACTTCGATGTGCTTCCAGGATATTCATTAATACCTTAATGCAATATTAATCGCATCATTACAGCACAAAAGCAAGGCTTATGTTTCTTACCTATTACAAATGCTATGGCTCCTAGTCCCAACACCAAGACCAGCATCAAGGGAGCAATGAGTAACTTTCCGGCTGGAAAAGAAATGGTTATTGGAATATTAGAACAATCATGGATACAACTTGTTCTTCCTTCTCCAAATCAACCCAGAGACCAGACTTTAAGTGCAATGGAGCTTCGCTTTCAAGAATTAAAAAACATATTTAATGCTAATCTTTATATTTGAAAGAATTACTCTTGCAACAATACATCATCAGTAGGGTAAAACTAACATGTCTCACAACAGTCTAAGCCAGGATCACATTTCCTTATTAGTGGGTGAACAATGCAATATTTTGTTAATTCTGCTTCACAATGGAAGGAAGAGCCGACATTGAAAGATTAAAAAGAGACGTCATTATGAATGCTTGGCTGCCGTAAGCCACTTATCCCTGAGGTAACTTTTTTGGTGTCTATTAAACTGAATTGTCTTAAAGCGCTTCATAGGTATTAAGTATAAAGTGTAGTGACTTTTGGCAGGCAAACGCGGCAACTATTTTTCACCCAGCAAAGTCCCACAAATAATTATACATAATAAATAATCCTTGCGCCTTATCATATCATCAAGATGTCTCAAAGCCCTTCACAGGAGTTTACAAATGACAGTAACCGCTTATTTGTGGTGAAAGCCATGAAGTGAATGATCATTTAATCTGGGGATTGTGGCCCGGGGCACCAAAAAAGGTTGGTTTAAGCATCACATCATAGTTTAAATAAGATAGTTTAAGCATCACATCGTCCATCCAATGTGTGTTTAGGAATGTGTTTGTGTCCATCTAAGTTTCCCTAAAGGAGCGTTGACATTATTGGGGGCCAGATTTCGAGAGATTCGAGAGTTCAAGGCTCATCTTCACAAGAACTGCACAGACGGCCTTTGAATAGAGTTGCCTCCCCCCGGCTGACTTTACCTCCCTAACCAGGCACCGAGCCCAACAGTGTTCCTACTGTCACCAAGGTTAAAATCAACTAACAGCACAGCCTGGGGATCAAATCTCAGTCCTCTCTGGTTTGATTGACACAGTTACTAAATGGATAAACTCTGTGCCACTGTAGGAGCTTACTTTGAAGATTTAATGAGTCCCAACAGAAGTTGAGAGATAGAAAGAAGGGAATAAATTGTATATTGCTAATTTTAGCATCTTTGTTAATGTGGACTTGTGGAAATGCATCTCATTATAAGCACACATTGACATAGCATAATGCCACTACACCTTGGAACAACTCTCCCAAGACTCCTGAAGCACCCTGATTAATAATCACCTCATATTACAAGTAATTCTGCTCTGTCACGCTGCATGCTTCAATAGCCCTTCAAAAAGAATACTCCGATGAGTCAATCAGCATTCCACATTCAAACCAAATCAACTTTAGGAAGCCAATAACACTGAAAAAAATGTTAGTCTGAACGCACGGCGATCGATGGTTCAGTGTTTGTAAACACAACAATCACAATGAAGCAATGACAATTTCTTTGTCAGAAAAAGGCTAATCATCAGATTAGCACTTGATTCATTAAAAACTGAAGCAATCTGGAGATCAGTATTAAAACTGACAGCAACAAAGCAGGTTTGTAAACAAACAATGCAGGAAAGAAATCTTATTCATAGCAAATCAATGAACCAAATGGCTACTTCACTATGAAATCGTCATTGCCTCATTGTGATCGTCGTGTTTACAAATATTAAACCATGGATCAACAACAACAACTTAGATTTGTATAGCACCTTTTATGCGAGTAGCATCTCAGAGCGTTTGGTTATCATGTTTACAAACATTAAACCATTGATCGGCGCATTTACAAACTCTGAACCCATCTTCATCATGTTAAATGCTTTCATATGTTCACAACGTGTAGATTTATTTTATTACAGTGCCTAGAAATTAAGTGCAATTAACTCAGCAATTGTGCTAAATCAACAACAACAAATTACATATGTATAGTGTCTTTCACATTGGGAGGATGTCCCAAGGCGCTGGAAATTTCAAAATCAAATTCTCAAGCAAACGTCTCTCAATGGAATTGATGATATGAGGGCATAGCTGCTTCGGTTTCACTGACAGTGCAACAGTCCCCCACTCTGGCACAAAGCACAGCCTCGCTTTACTTAAATTTCTGTCTTCAGCTTCAATTTTTCTAACTCAGCTCTACCACAAATCGGCAACATGACCCGCGCAAAAGTTACAAATTATTAATGATTCCGTAAATTAAATCTGCAGAATCGCCTACAGCTTCTTTTATGTAATTCAACACCTGAACCAAGATCAACATGAAATCCCAGACCGTTAATTACACTCTACATCTCATGTTTACAAGTGGTGTGAGGCTCACACTGCTAAAAATGTAATGATTAAATATTTAAGTGTGCTGTTCTTTACTGCATTACAGCACTCACTTGTCTTCCTTTAACTGTAAATCAGGTTTAAGTGCTCTATGGCAGCACATTATTTCAGTGTGTGAAATGTATTGAAAGAGACGGATGGTTTTTAGTCTTCCTGGATCAACAGTAACTTGCACCTAGTTGTATAGTCCCTGTCACGTAAGATAACACTGCAAAGTACTTTACAGACACCAAGTAGATTTCCAACCAAGGTGGTGCTTGGTGGGGGATGAGAATGTTGACCGAATTTTTTTTAAGGCTTTAAAGGCAAAGGAAGGATGCCCAAGGTGAAGGGACTTGGATAAGAGAGTGGAGGAATCGTGGCTGAAAACTCCATATAGAAGCAGCTTGACAGTACAATCTCCTGAGGCAGAGAAATAGCTCCTCCCTTCTATCCCCCAATAGGTGAATATGAGTTGAAATCAGTGGGTTGAGTGGGCTCCGCAAACACTCAGCAAACAAACGTTACATGTCCCTGGTTCGATCAGCGAACTTTCAGTCAGTCTTTAACATCCAGCTGAACAAGCAGATGGGGACCTTGGTTTAACTTCTCATCTGAAGGGTGGCACCTCAAACATCACATCACTTCTCAAGCACGTTTTTGGGGGGGGTGTGGGGGCAGTTAGGTTAGGCTTAACTCAAAATGCGGAAACCCATCACCGTGCTTAAGAGTATCCAAATCAAGCTGAGATTTCTATACATCCCACCTACACATGGAAATTCCAGAGATAGATTGTTGGAATGGAATGCGCATTCTCTTCCTGAAGGGATGCATCCTGCTTATCTAATTCCGGAAAGTATTAGGCGCAGGTTAGGAAGAGCCAAGCCTTGGGGACCCCAGAGTGTGCGTTGGGAGTACTGCTAGAGTCTAACCAGCTAAAACCACATAGCTTGCCATTGATATTGCTGCCTGGTTAGCTTTCCTGCTGCTTATCCAGTGAGGAGCATCCTACCCATTAGGGCTTTGGCTTGCGGGGTTAACAGGAGCTGAGTGGGATGACTCACTGCCCCCAGTGACTGGTCTGCCCTTCCAGGTCCTGCCAATACCAGGCTGGCTGTGCTATCATCAGCTGAGCCCTTGAATACTGCGGATCTGTCTGGCTCAGAAACAGGACCATTGAGACCGCCACAGAGGGCTGGTTCGATTCTGACATTCCATTGCCAGGCATGTCACCTTGTAGCCATTTCAGCTCCAAGGAGACCCCATTTACCTCCCGCCCAAGCACTAGAGTGTCAGCCTAATCTAGCACTAACCTGCACTATTCACACTGGGGTTTATAGATTCAGCTGGACTTGGTTGTTCCAATTTTGTTCAAGGAAGAGCCTCAATTAGCAAGCAGGTTCTGGTTACAGTCATGTCACTTTCATTATAACTAAAGCGACACAAATAGTAAAGCAGAAACACACAGATCTGAGGCCCAAAATTCCCCGATTATCACCTGCAAGACTATTGTGTCTTATAGTTTAAGACTGTACAAGTGAGGATTTTTTAAAAACTTCTATCTAAATTTGAAAGCCTATTTTCCACAGTTCTTAAAGAGGAGCAGATTTCAAATCAAGATTTAATTCAGGACTTGTATAATGTTTGCATGACTCTTACATTTTAAGACAATGCACTAAGTCTAAGATTGTTAGAAATTTCAACCCCCTAGCTTGTACTTAGGCCACAACTCCCATCACCCCAAACCTCGCCAGGCTCCACTGTTATTTAACAGTTTCGACTGTGGGAATGTATTTCGTCTTCACCAAATTTGATTGCATTCTTTTAATTGTACATTCTTATTGAGAATAATTTCTCAATATAAAGAAAATAATTTCTCAAAGTCTGGAAAGAAAGAAAAACTTAGCAGTTTTATAGTGATTCATTGCAGCAAAACTTCTCAAAGTGCTTCACAAGTAACTACCATAAAGGCTGGACACTTTTTTGTAGACAAACATGACAGCTATATTACACACAGCAAAGTCCCACCAAAGTCAGCACAGTGTGAGAAGCTTCAGTTTCGTTTCAAATAGTGATCGATAATGCCCATCTGGGGAGACAGGCCCCGTGTTGAACATTTTATATCGCGCAGATTGTATCATGTTGTGTAAAACTAGTAAAATGTTTAGCTTACCACAAACAGAACCCCGTACTAATCTCCGTAAATGTGGTCTGTCAGGGAGGTAGCGGTACTTGCATCCAAAAATACTTAGGTTTGAGGTGTGGTCGCCAAAGAAACGAAGCTGACGGTACCTTTCCCCACAGCGGTAGCAAAAGTTAGTGTTGCACTGCGAGCAGGTCATGTGATCACAGCCTTCCGTCCTCTGGATGTGAATCTTTTATTGGGAAAACAAGAAGAACAAAAATAATTTAAAAACCAAAGTCCTATCATCAGGACTCAGCAGTCGGATGCTGACCACAATTTTTAACAACAACAAGATTTCATTTATAGAGCGCCCTTCACGTCGGGAGGACGTCCCAAGGCTCTGTACAGTTGGGTCAGGACCCGAGCAGGGGGGAATGGTCAGGGTGAGGGGAGGGAAGGGAGGGAGCGAGGAGGGGGTAGAGAGTCGAGAGGGGAGCTGAAGGCACGGTCAAAGAGAAAGGTCTTGAGACCGGCCTTGAAGGAGGAAAGGGAGGAGGCGGCGAAGGCACTGGGGGATAGAGTTCCAGAGCCTCGGGGCTGAGAGGCTGAAGGCCGATGGTAGGGCGGTTGGGGCGGGGGATGTGGAGCAGACTGGAGCCAGAGGAACGGAGGGTATGGGCAGGCAAGTAGGGGGATAGTAGATCAGAGAAGTAGGAGGGAGCAAGGCCGTGAATGGCCTTGTAGGTGAGGATGAGGTACAAACATTTTCGTGCAAAGCAAAACACTAAAGGCTGGTCTGGTAGCTTACAGCACCCACCCACAGAACAACAACTTACATTTATACAGCGCCTTTCACACAGGTAACACCTTGTAGTGCTTCACAGGGGTGGGGCTGGATGTTGAATAAGGGAGATTTTAAGGAGGGATTCAAAGACAGATAGGGAGCAGGTGAGGCGGAGGGGTAGATAACACACCGAAAGAAGTGAAACTACTTTGTTAGTCTCTTTTCAACCCATTGAGCTGTACACTTTCTTGACGAATGAGGCACATCTTATCACTGGCTTGTTTCTTAGTGTGCAGGATTGCAGAGATAGCATGCTCTGCTCTCACAAAATATTTTTTTCCCAGCAACCAAGTACTGCTTAAACACATCAATTTGGGGGTGGAGGAAGGTGGAGGAGGGAGAGAGAGGCCCAAAAAAGTTAGTTTAGAATGATAGACTGCTAGTAACAACCTCTAAATGGCAGCCCAATGATACTGTTCAAGGGTTTAGATATCCCTCCTCTCCTTCATTCTGAAGCACACGTTAATAAGCAGCATTAAAATTTGAATATACTTTTGCCCCAATATCCTAAGCAAAAGTCCCAAATCATGCTGATTAGTTTGGGAAGGAAAAAAATAACTAGTGGTAAAACTTGTTTAAACCCACCTTACATTTTGGGCATTTCTGAGCATTTCTCTGTCCGTGTTCAATCTCACTGGCCCAGTGACGTAACAGTTTATCTCCCTTTCTGTACTCTCTGCAGTTCAGGCCTTCGTGCCAGGGAGAGTGGCACTTGAAACACCAAACAAATTGGCATGTTGGACACTGGATCTGCAGGCAATAAGAAACATTTACAAAATCACTATAATGGGGGGTATTTTCAGGCATTCTGTAAAGGAAGGCACAGGTATATAACAAGACATTTTAAAAAAAGAACAGTATACATGTCTTATTTCAGAGTCCGTCTCCCCCACTACAAAGTTTTCTGTCACCCTACATACAGTACAGCCGTATTTAGGAATATCTCAAAGTTCAGTAAAATACATAACCATTACAATGGGGGTCTATTATGCCAGTTGTGTAAACTATGTTTATAGCAAGGTAAACTATGTGTAGAGTAAGGAAATTATAGGGGCCCTTAATTAAGCAATGACTAACCAGTAAAAATGAATGGTTAAACATTGATGCCTTTCATTGTATAATTGAGGCTACCTGTAATTCTCTCTTTACACAGTTAATGTAATGTAGAATTAGGTCTGCCAGTTTCCTACATCAATCGGTAAAAATCGGTGTTTGCCCGGTTTCCTTACTTTCCACAAATTGAGCAAACTGAATTCCAATGGTTAAGAGTATTTTTTAAAAAAGCTCTTTTTGATTATTTGAGCTACTAAAGTGACTACTTCAAGAGTGCAAAGTCAGCACAGATGTTGATTTGTGTGCACTGCACACACACACACACACACACACATACACTGTGCAGGCAGCACAACTAATGTTTTTTTCCTGTTTGAACTGAAGACAGTGTTGTTAGACCTGATGTCTGCCAATATGCAGCATGCAGGAAGTGATGATGTCTGTGGTGACCTTACAATTTGAAAGTCAGCCAGTTTGTAGTTCAAAAGATTACTGAAATCCAAAAAAAGGCAAAACAAACATTGATATTATCTGTTAATTTTTTTAAAAATGAACTGGTAACCATATGCGTAATACATGAAAGTACAAAGGGTTCAAACAACTCACCATTTTTATAGATTCGTAAAAGGTACAACCCAAAAACAGGCCATCTGGCCCATCCAGTCTGGTCAGTATTTATACTCACTACAAGTGCCATCCTAGATCCTATCTTTGGTCCCATATTCTAGCCCTTTCCCCATATCCCTCAACTTTATTCTCCCTCAACCATGTGTCCTTTTTTTTAATGCACATAGCTGCTTACCTCAAGAACTGGCTGTAGCAGAGAATTCCACTCTCCCACCAATGTCTGTAGGAAAAGTTGCTTCTAATCTCCGTTCTGGATCTTCCAGTTCTAATTCTAAAACTATGCCATCTAGACCCCTGACAATTATCTTCCCTGTCCACTCTATCTAGCCCTCGCACTCCCACATCATTATATGTATCATTTGCAGCTACACTTATCTGCACTAACTGAACTCAAAACGACAGGACTATTCATATGTTGTATAAAGCAGATTTTTTTAAAAATCAGACGATTGAAGCATCCAGCAATATTTTGCACAGATTTAGTAAGCACTATGGGCTGTAAATATGGAGTGTATTTAATAAATGCTATACAACAACAACAATAAATTACATTTATGTCAAGCCTTGCATGTCAGAAGGATGTCCCAAGATGCTGGACAATCGAGGGTTTGTACCTGAGCTGGAGGATGGAATCAAGAGGGGTGGAGGGTGGCCAAAGGCACGGTCAAAGAGGAAGATCTTGAGATAGGCCTTAAGGCAAGGGAGGCGGAGGGATTCTGGGATGGAGTTCCAGATGGTGGGGACAGAAAAACTGAAGGCCCAACTGCCAATGGGGGACATGGAGCAGCCAGTACCCACCAAGTCGAGGGAGCAGACAGGTTGGTATGATGTTAATAGGTCTCAGAGGTAGGGATGAGCACAACTGTGGAGGGCTTTAAAAGTGAGGATTAGGATTTTAAACTCGATCCTCTGACAGATGGGAAACCAGTGGAACTGGGCGAAGATGAGGGTGATCGGTTCACTGAGCTTGGTGCAGGAGAGAACACGAGTTCTGAATAATCTGCAGTTTGTGGAGGAAAGATTGGAAAAAAAGCCTCTTCTCACTTCCTGCTGGGTAGTCTGAAAGAAAACAATGACTAATACTTCAGTCAGGTATGTCAACACCCTATTACAAATTAAGAGGTAAAATGTATTTCATTGACTGACCACATTAACACATTTTTCTTAAAAATGTAAACACTATAGTAAAGATCATTTAAAAACCATTATCCAAGCAGAATCCTTTTTGTTAAATTAAAAATTAATGAGAAGAGATAAATGAATCTTAATTATTTTGCAGAATCATTGTTTCATTGTGACACATTTGAAATTCAAATGAAAGATAATGTTTACTGACTGAAAATCTACTGATCTTTGTTAACCTTACATTTTACTAGAAAAAGATGATGGCTTGAATGTGGCTGATAAACAGATGGGCAGAGAGAGCGAGAGAGACACAGAAAAAAGGTCACAGAAATGTTTGGGTCTCTCAATTGTACTCGGATTTGGACAATGGAGCTCATGAATTTTACAAGGAAGCAAATGGCTAGGCAGTAGAGATGATTTTAACCTTCTAATTTACAAACCAAAGGAGGAATTTGAAAAAAAAATCACACAACACTGCCAATATGAAGTTTCAGTGTAGGCTGAGAAGTCCTGAGAAGGACTTTAAACCCACAACCTTTTGACTCTGAGGCCAGAGGTGAGCCTGCCTGACACTTAGCAAGTGGATGCAGATTTCTTTCCTCCAATCACTTGGTCTCCCTGCGTTACACGCCACTCCTCCCTGCAGAAGTAGGGCACAGCTAGTTTGGAATAAATTTAAGAATGCTCCATAAATCTGCACAAAAAGTTTACAATTTTAAAGACAGAACAATAGAGACGAGGTTAATTTCAAGTACTTGAAGCCCAGCACGCTCACCAAAGTGCCCATCACAAGCGATCCCCACTTTTATAAATAGTGCAGCCAAAGATTTTAGCTTAACTTACCAGCAGTCTAGAGTAGATCTCTTCTATTTAACCAACTAACCCCTTGGTTCTAATCCTATAAACAACTAGGACAGAATTTGAGAGAAGAGTGCTCACTTTGAACTTGCTTTCGGATTTGGAAGGGTTTGGAATGTTGCCCTTCCTCCTGAAGGTGGTGAAGTGTTTGCACTGAGGACAGGGCTTGGTGGTCGAGTCCACCCTGCTGAGCTCCAGGAAGTAACTGTACTTGACAATGTCGTCACGTGGCAAATTGGAAAGGACTGTGCTTTCACCCAGCTCTTCACTGCATTCTGTAATGGGGCATTTGATCTCCGCTCTTCCCAGCTGCACCTGTGCACAAGTAAACAAAATCTAATTTATAAAAACAGCATTCAGGCGAATGGCAAAACCCAGTCCTGTAAACAAAATAAAAATAGCTTGTCTAAAAATGAATCGGCTTTTTGAATATTTTATATGTTATACATTTCCAGGGGTAATAATCCCTTCAAATATAATAATAATTCGGCCAATCAATCCACAACTGTTCATGTAACATTGCTGTGGGCAATTGGCTGTCGCGTTTCACCCACAAAACACACAGTCACTACACTTTATATTTTATTCTGTGAAGCGCTTTGATATGTTTCGACGATGTGATAAGACGATATATCAAATGTAAGGATTATTATTATTTATTTCATCCAATCTTTGAAAGATTAGAGCATTTGCTGAATGCAAAATGTTCTATGGGTATCAGGAAAGAAAAACAGATAAAGATAGACATGATGATGTGTTCCCCAACAGACATTCAAATCAAACACTAATTTAAAACACCAGACACTTCCCATTCAATTTAGATTCACCACTCCAGCGCAGGAAGTATTTACAAGAAGAAAAGGTCTGTCCACAGTGTCAGAAACCATAAAGAAGATGTCTAATCTAATCAATTCTTTTGTGCGTTGGCCCTGTTGGATGGGGTCTTTCTCCAATCCAGCTTCTACATCACTATAGACAATGGGCTCAGTTTACCAACTAATGTGCTGGAGACAAACTGACAACACCTACATCTTTCTTTAATGGCAATGTCAGTGAAGATGTCTTACAGCATAGCATTTAGGTAGATACCTCTTATAGACTAAACAAATACCTCAAGAGTAGCCGATATCCCACTAACTAGCAGCCGACCAGATGCCAATATTTGAGAATGTGCATTTAGTTTGGTAAATGCTGCTAAAGTGACTCATGTAGTGAAGACTTCACTAGCCTTACAGTCCCCACCCACCACAATAATGGTGTCACAGCACTCCAGTCAAAACTGCTCAGATTCAACTCACTTTCCCAGAAATAACACTCCTAAAACATGTCAAATTCACATAATTTTTACTCATGGAAATAGTTACTTGATGTTTGTACAAATGAATACTTTTAAACATATGGAGGGGAATGAGTGGGAAAGAGGAAAAGTAAGGTAATTGACCACAGCTTCCCTTTTCCTGTCATATGATATTTTCTGACTGCGCATGTGCTTATCTACATCCTGACACCACTGTTATCTCCACAGGAAGAGGAATTGAGTATTTTACATATGAATGAGATAGCAAACTCCATTGATCATGGAGACACTCCATTGTTTAGTACTGTGTAAAAACACCAACCGGGAAAGTCAATAATCACCAATGTTAATGAACAAGATAGCTGTGGAGCAGATGCTTAGTGCAGAGTCAGTCTTTACAGACAGAGGTTCAGGGAGATTCTTGGGCCTTACTAAACTGCTGCAGTATTCCCAAATGTTTCCATGGCAGTGCTGGATCGACACTTGCTAAATTACCTAAACATTAACCTGATAAACTCACCAATGTAATCAACAAAACTTGAATTTGTATAGCACCCCTCGTGCAGGGTAGCGTCCCAGAACACCTGACAGTGGCAGAGCACAACGCCGAGCCGGGGGAGGTGACCGTGGGCAAAATTGAAGGCAGAGGAAGGTCTTCAGGCGTGATCTGAAGATGGGGAAGGGGCAAGGCTTTTGGGAGATAGACGAAGAGTGTTCCAGAGTTTTGGGCATAATGGTTGAAAGCGCGCCGACCGATTGTGGAATGGAGCACGCGAGAGACACGCAGGAGGCTGGAGACAGTTGAGTGGAGGCAATGGGTAGTGAGTTGGGGAGTAAGCAGGTCAGAGAGGTAGGAAGGTGCCAGGGAATGAAGCGGTTTGAAATCGGATCTAGAAATCGATCCAATTTCGAGACCTTCACACTCGTAATCAACAGCACCACACCCAGTCCACTGAACTAGATTTTCCTAGATTACTTCACATGCTATTTTGCAATTGGGTAGCTGCAAAAGTGATATGTTTATGTGATAGAAACTTGCAAATTTTCTACACAGAAAAAGGCATTATTGCCTAATGCCTAAACAGGCATTATTCACAATCCTAGCTGACTGTACCATTTGCTTTAGAGAAAGTGATTGTGAGGACAGGGTGTAGTAAAACTAACAGTGACTGTGGAATTGGGGAAGCAGTTTCACATATTTGCTCTCTGGTTACCCCAGAGCAGAATTGGAGAGAATACTTTTCTTGACTCAGCTTCAATTAATTTGAAACAGCTATATAGCAATGTTAAATTAATTCTAGGCCGTGAATGAAGTTAGTGTTCCACTGTCCTGCCAAATGCAGTGGGTTTGCACTTCAAATCCTGTTCGTACATATGGGCAACATTGCATTTTTATTTTATGGCAACCTTTGTCAAAATGTCTCAAAGCGAGACCAGTCACAAGTAATTACTGTCAATCCTACCGACTGTTATCAAGTGACCGTTTTTGTAGGTGAAGGGGATGTTTTCCTGCTAGAAGGGACAAGAGACAGAAAAGCAATGCATCCTTTTTTGTTACAACCAAGCAAAGCCGTCTTGTGAGAAATCCCACACTTGAATATGATTTACACCACAGTGTTTGGCAAACAAAGCATTATGCGTAAGCCTGTGCATAAAGATAATGTCCTTTTAAGTCCACTTTTTACAAAATAAACTAACGCCTGTAAATTAAATACTTTATAGAGTCAGTGGCATTCTCCCACTGAGAACAAAGGGAGCATGGGAGCGTAATGCATTTCCACACTGGCTTGAGTTTACTATCCTCTCACACTCCCATGGTGTGCTGTGAGGAGGCAAGCCCACTGGCAAGATTTCCACGTGGCCAATTCATGGATGAATAGAATAGAATGAAACAAATAGAAGGAACAAGCTGTACTTCTGCTATTTCCAATAGTGGTGGCATTTAGTGACTGAAGGCTATAGCCATAGATACAATACAAAATTACATTTGTAAAGAGCCTTTCATGTCGGGAGGACATCCCAAGGCACCGAACAGTCAGGGATTAGGATCCGAATGGGGGGTGGGGTGTGGGGGGCAGTTGGGATCAGGGACATTGGCACAGTTGAAGAGGAGGCATGCTTGAAGGAGGAGAGGGGAGTGAGGAGAGGGCAAACCCTCTGCTCTAAATTTCTACGGTTCTATGAAACAAAACATTGTTTTAAATCATGTTGAAGTATGATTATACCGCAAATACTGTACTTTACAAATGTCGTTTTTGAAAATAATAATATAATAATAATCCTTGCATTTGGTAATAGTGCATTTCACGTCTCCGAAGTCTCAAAGCGCTTCACAGAATAGACTGTAAAGTGAATTGACCGTATATTTGTGGATTTTTTTTATTCGTGAAAATGATCACACTGCAAATACTGAACTGTGCTGTAATGTAAATTTGACAATATACCTAAACACAATGGCAAATTATTTCAACAGCTCAAAGTGATGTGATAATACTGCAGACATTACAGCTCCTTCGAGTCCATACTCTAATCATTCCATTTGTGATGCCACAAAGTTGCTACATTTAGCAACAAGCTAAATATTCGCCCACAGATACAGTCACAAAACTTTACAGTAAAATCCTGTTGAGTGCTTTGAGATGTTTTGACTACGTGATAAAGTGCTATATAAAATGTAAGGATTATGAATTATCTGAATCCGACTCCAGTGAAGGACGGAACGAGGTTACCCCAGTGTCAGCCTGGTGCAGTGGTAGCACTCTCGCCTCTGAGTCAGAAGCGGTGGGTTCAAGCCCCACATCGGGACTTGGAATCACATTGTCTAAACTGACACTCCATTACAGTGCTGGAGAGGTCCTGCATTGTCTGAGATGCCATCCTTTGGATGAAACGTTAAGCCGAGCTCCCACCTGCCTGTTCAGGAGGTCCTGCATTGTCTGAGATGCCATCCTTTGGATGAAACGTTAAGCCGAGCTCCCACCTGCCTGTTCAGGAGGTCCTGCATTGTCTGAGATGCCATCCTTTGGATGAAACGTTAAGCCGAGCTCCCACCTGCCTGTTCAGGTGGATGTTAAAGATCCCATGGCTACTATTCCAAAAGAGAAGGGAGTTTCCCCCAGTGTCCTGGCCAAGAATCCCCCAAATAAAATTGGTCACTCGTTCCATGAGTATTTGTGGGATATTGCTGTGAGTTTCATGCACAAAATACAGTTACTCCACTTTACAGAATATCCTGTGAAGTGCTTCGAGATATCCCAATGATGTGTTAAGGCGCTATCTCAAATGCAAGGATTATTGTTGTTATCATGGTTGAACTGCATGGCGACGCTCACTGCCTATCAATTGATCGCTCCTTAGCTCCGGGTACAATACGTGCACAATTCTACTGTTGCTACATAATCACATATTTAAATTCTGGAACAAACTTATTCCTTGTGATGCAATTACTAAGCAGCAATAGAATTGCAGGATTTATTTTGCTTTTAATGACACAGCAGACCTAGGAGAGCAGATTGAGCAGTGGCCACTGCAGACTCTGGTAGTAGCAATGTCAAACCTAGAGGCTGGAAAACAGGGTACCAACGAGTAAGATTGAGATTGACTGCAGACAGGATCACAAAGAATATTCAGATGAAAAAGGCCCTTCGATCCATTTGAATTTATCCTTCCAAGATAGTGTTTTTTCAATACAGGTTTAAAGTTCTTGTTGACAGAGTCCAGTGTCCTAGCCTCAACCACTGTTCTGTATGACTGGTTCCAGCTGGGGTTTTGTTTGGATCCTGGGTGTCTGACACATGTATAAACCCATCATCACTATCAAGATAACCAAACACACAAGAGTTCCACATATGTATGCAATCTACCACATGGAAATATGCTTCTGTTTGGAAATTGAATACATACTCTCTCCCTGGAGGGGTACATGCTACTTAGCTAATTCCAGAGAGTATTATAATCCATACATTTGATATAGTGACTTTCACATCAGAGGGACGTCTCAAAGCACTTTACATCATAA